AGAACCAGAATAAGATGTGGGGAGAGCGTGGGAGTTAGAGGGGAAAAACAAAGCCTTACATTGTTTACCGGTACACTTCTTATTTACAAGCCCTCTTGAGATTATGTGATTTACAAAATGTGTTGACTTTTTGGTGTTACACTTATTGTAAGCAGCTGTGGACGAGAGTCTGCAGCTAAATAATTAATGGAAAAATGTAATTGAGAGGAGAGGAGATTTGGAAAAAGGGGGTGGAGAGAAAATGTTGATGAAGGAGAGGTAGAGGGAAGAAGAGAAAGAAAGACAGCAGAGAATTTTTCAAATTCCTTTCACTGTTTATCATTTCAAATGAGGATATTTGCAAGGATGAAATAAAGACTGACAGACAGCGAGGGAGCTGGAAGCCAGAGGACAGTATTCACAGATCATTTCACATGCCATGATTGGAGGATTGGCTAAAGGAGAAAGAAACAAGCTGACGAATGATTTAAAGCAGCCACTAATGATTTTTTCCCCATTATTGACTGATCATTTGTTCATGCTTTCCTCTCTTTCCTCCTGCTGCGTGTTTATCTTAAACAAATTAAGATGCAAACCACGTCTGTGTGTCGTTATGTGCTATTCAGACACACAGCATGGATAGTACAGCCTCTCGGCTCCCACATAGAGCATATTGACATGTAGGTCAATGAGCCCAAGTGAGCTCATGAGTATCCCTCCCTATTGGTCTGTTATGAAATGATTTTCAGAGACCTTAAAAACAGAGCGGGACAAAAAGCTGAGACGCAGCATGTTCATCTCTGCTCCTCGGTGGATGCAGCACAGATTGTTTAAGCTCACTCGTGTGGTGTAAACAGTCCCTTTGGTTGCAGGAGCACGCTGCTGAACTGAGTCATCGCTCCCATTTTTCACACTCGTATCATATCAGGTCTGGAGCTGCTGTTTCATTTGTTATGACTGGATCGCAAGCAAAGGCGACCAGCTTTACGGTTTGTTACATTTTGTAAGAGAACATCCTGTTGTTTGCCTTTTGAGGTTTTAGTTTTAGTGCCGGCTTAATAATTCATAATGCCTTGAAATGCATCTAAAATGCCGTTGGGCTTCAAAGGTTTTACTGTGCTTATGTCACCACTGATAGCCTGAGCTGAGTTGGGTTGAAACACAGATTCATTGTCACATGTTTTAATTTGTTATATATTTCCCTGACCTGTGAGCTTGGTAGGCTGGCGACTTGTCCAGGGTGGACCTGGCCTTTCACCCTATGGCAGCTGGGATAGCTTCTATCCCTTCCTAACAGCCCTGAACTGGATAAGCAGTTAAGAAAATGGATGAATGAATTGCTATTAAGGCTTTCTGAAAGTCAAAGACAAGTTTTAACTCATGCCAATGATGCTTTTGTCTCTCACACAGTGCAACAAGTGATACACTGTCAAAATGAATAGATCAACTTGATAGATATTCTCAATGACTTCTCAGCTGAGGGTTAGGTTAAGATGACTGACAGCTACCTCAATTCTTCTCCAAGGCATAGAAATAACTGATAAAAGTAATAATGTCTCTATAATTAAGACTTCAGCAGTAGATCCTTTCATTTGTGTAAGTCAAAAGGTGATGCCTGCTTGATTGCATTAAGTCCCCTCTTCATTGTGCTCGCCAAGTTATATGTGAACAATTTTTGTGTGAAAAAGGTCATATAAAAGAAAAGCAAAGGGTAAACGTAAAGAATAAGAAATGCTTCGTCACTCATCCAACGGACTTCTTCAGTCTCAGCTGACTGCAGGTTTGCCCAACCTTTAAACAGTACATTTGCATAATGACAGAAACCAGCTCCATTGCAGAGAGAAACGTGCAATTTCACCCAATGTGGCCAGTTTGTATATGGAAGATGTGGAAAACAGGGCTCTGTTATCATGTCTTGGAAGACCACTGAGCCTTTGGTTGAGGTTTGTAGATAACTCGGTGGACAAACACATCACGTTCATCGGGGAGGATATTAAAAATGACAGGCTAGCCTTCTTAGACTGTGAGATTTCCATCAGTAATCTGGAACATTTAAAAGTTGATGTATAGCGTAAAACAGCACATACGGATCAGTATTTAAGGTTTGACTCTCATTATCCACTTGGAGCACAAACTGAGAGCGAACACCATCCACACAGATACAGCGACCAGGGAAGCAGAAAAACATATCAAGAAGGCCCTGAGTAAATGTGGTTATCCCAGCTGGGCATTTGTTAAAGTTGGGAAGGCACCTAAAGAAAGCCCCAGGCAATTCAGGAGAGAAGAAGGACAACTGCTGCCTGAGCGAAAACCTTTAGTGATCCAAGTCAAGTCAAGTCAACTTTATTTGTCAATTCTGCCACATGTACAGGACATACAGAGAATAGAAATTTCGTTACTCTCAAACCCTTATATGTCAAGAGTATTGGAACAGCTGAGATGCATATTCTTTGTAGAACAGAGCCTCTGTGGCTTTTAAACCCCCCAAAATTGGTCTACCCTGAGGATCCGGTTCTCCGACGCAAACAGAGTAATAAGGTGTACGCTGCTAAGTGCCAGGAGGACTCCCGTGATTTATACATCAAGGAAACCAAGCAACCTCCGGCGAAGCAAATGGCACAACGGAGAAGAACTAACTTGTCAGGTCAAGACTTGGCAGTCTATTTATACCTACAGGCCAGTGGCTACTCTTTCAATCACGAGGATGTACAGATCCTGCACAGGGAGGAATGCTGGTTTAAGCAGAGAGTCAAGGAGGCATATCTGTGTGAAAATGGAACAACCATGTCTGAACCAAGAGGAGGGCACATGAGGGGACGTCTAAATCATTCCCCAACTCTCTGTGAGCAGTACCCGTGGCCATTGGTCATGACATTTTGGTTATTAAGGATCATGAAACTGACCTCATTATTAGTGAATGGTGCTGGTTTCAGTGATCAAGCAGATGCACTGTTTATGAAGTTGGAGAAAAGAGACTGATGAGTGACAGTCTACTGAAAGTGTTACATCCAGGTGAATAGAATCAACTTTCTGGGACAGTAAAACAACATCCACATGAATACCAGGTTCATGTTTGCTTACTATTTATCTTCAACATAACCTGTAACCATTTCTTCTCTATGTAAAGACTTCACAGAGACATATGATTTAGAGGGAGAAGTCACTCACCAGATCAGTCACCTTCTTCAGATGCTTTACAGTACTTTTCTGATGTTCACATAAACATTATAAGGATTTTGAGCAGTTAACCAGGTTCAGGATAGGCACTGTGATCGGTCTGTGGCAAACCAAAACATACTCTCCAGTCTGTGATGTATTGTGTGTTGTGACAGCTTTCTGCTACAGCCAGCATTCAGACTGTCAGCAGCTTGTGCTACACTGCATCTTCTGTGAAATATCAGCACGCAGGCCAGCCTTCTCTTCCCAAAGGCATCCATTAGCCTTGGACACTAATGACCCTGATGACTGTTCACCAGTCTTTCCTTAGATCACCTTTCATAGGTACTAAATATCACTTCACACTCCGCAAGACAAGTTTTGAAGATGCTCCAACCCAGTGGTTAAGCCATCACAATGTGGCCCCTGTTGAATCGATCGTATTGTTATGCTTGAGCATCTTTTCCTGCTTTCAACACATCAGTTTCAAGAACTGACTGTTCTCTTGCTGTGTTATATATCCCCACCACTTGACAGGTGCCACTGATGCAAGATAATCAATGTCATTTAATCACTGCGTCAGTGGTTTTAATGCTGTTGCTAACTGGTGAAAGCAATATGTAAATAATGTGTTAACTGGTAAGCTTTAGCTTTGCTGGCAGGTAGATTGTTATCTCCCTCCTCATTCTAAACAAAGCTGATGGCTGTGGCTTCATATTTAGCATGCGTGCCATTTGTCATTCACTGAAATGTTCTGCCAGGAAGCAAAATGGTGTGTTTTTGCAAAATGACAGATTGTTCTTTTAATCCCAGCTGCCGAATGCGGGGGTGATTACAATTTTTTTTTTACTTTTACCCCTCATTACAGCAGTCACAAACATACAATCATCCAAACACCTTAACTTCAAGGTAAAATACAGTCACACATTCAGTTCCCATCCTGCTGATTTCTGAATGTTTAGCAGAGAAGCACAGACGAGTGTGAGAAGTTTCCTGAGAGCTTCAGAGTAATAAAATGTACCAGCACACAAACCGCTTGCAGAGGGACAGCTAGTTATGACGCCCACCTTACTCTTCATGCAACCCCCCCTCCTACTCCCCTGCTCACCATCACCATGGTTACAATGATGCAGGTTACCGTGGCAGCCAAGTCAACTCCACACTCCACACAAAGGCGCACGTGCATGTGCTTTACCGCTCACTCAAAGGGGGATACGCATGTTGTGACGCTGAGGAGTTGAATATAGTTTCCTGCGTAATTTCTGGAGGATACGAGGACATGGAGCTGCTGTCATTTCTCTGTCTCCTGTCTGACACTCTCGCTTCTGTTCATGACAGATGATGGATGGTCAGCAGCTGGCAGCCCCCAGTCCCCCCTCCAGATTTTCCCAATCTGTTCTTTTTTTTTCTTTTTCTTCTCTACGCCAAAAATAGACACGTAGAAAAACAATTTGTGACACACACAGCACAGATATATACATATGAATGGTCAGCATCTTATCTGTTGCTGCCAGACCCTTGCATGCGCCTCTTATCATCTCTTCCAGTGTGTGCGTGTGTGTTGGTTAAGTTCATTTGAGGCTATGCTGCCACCCAGTGTTCACATTACAAACTGCAGAATAAAAGTTTTAATATTCTCCCCAACCTCCACCCCCGAAAAATGAATTCAAGGATGATTCACACATTTAGACTGAGCAAGAGTAACTCATTCAAAACAGGTGTTGTTTAACGGTTATATTTATATTATATTATAAAGACCCAACAATATTAGAAAGAAAAAAATCACACGACCCTCTATGAGCAAGCACTCGGCGACCGTGGGAAAGAAAAACTCCCTTTTAACAGGAAGAAACCTCTGACCAGACCAGTCTCAGGGAGAGGCAACCAGTCATTTTCATCAGTGATTTTATTATTCAGTGAACCGTTTTGCCTTTATAATGTAAGGGCATTATAATTTTAACAGATATAAAAAAAATAACGAAAGCCTGTGAGTGATAAACTAAATTAAGTTTACTACACTGTCACATAAATTTTTGTCCGTAGCACTTCCTGAAGTCTGAAAATCAACATCCTTCGTCTAGCTTACGTGTAAGTGTTCAAAGCTATACTGACTACATGTATATGTTTGTCTTCATCCGCTTTGGGATTGACTCAGTCTTCTTAGTAGTAATCTCATTTCTTCTAATCCAGCCCTCCTTCCTTTCTTCCCTCAACATGCTCTCACACACACTCGGATATACACATGCTGCCTCTCTCATGTAGACCAGCAACCATTCATGTTGTTGGACTACTGCTGTCGCTGCTGTGGAGTCACGCTCATAAAACGCCATGGACCCATCTCCCTCAAAACTACACCCAGTGATACCTGGGTAAGGACACACTCTGGTACTGTATGTAGAAAATGGTTAGAATACAGTTAGACTACTGTATGTGGAGGGTCAAAATGTTTAGCCAACTTGGTAATAATTTTCTTACTGAAAATTTCAATTACTGACAATCATTTGAATTATAGCACCTCATTACACACATAATTAACATTTAGCTAGCAGTGGTTTCGTATAATGTCATATTTTCTAATCCATAAGTGTATGTGGCACTGCACATCTGCTTGTAGGCTTGCATTCCTAGAAATCAAAGCTAATTTCCAGGTCATGCTTTTAAAACATAATCTGTAATCAGGAGATGGCAATAAGATGGCAAACAGACAGCTAGCCAAAGTGTTTAGTTGTCTCTGATGGTATTAGCATGAGCTCAGCTACTTTAATGGTTTTGGACAGACTCACACTGTGATCCAAACCGTTGAAATATACAGTGAGAAGTAATCATAGACAGTATCTAAGGTCTAAACATCCCAGTGAGCTCAGAATATATTGTGAAATGCAATCGAGAAATACTGGAAGATGAGAAAACATTGTACATTAATGTACCTTAACGCCACATATCAGGTGCAGAGTCTGTAAAGTATTCATATATTAAACTGTTAAGCATTTTTCCATTTTTGTGCTGATGTAAAAACTGCTAACACTATCTTACAGTCCTGTGCAAAAGTCTTGAACCACACCTCTTTTCTTTATAGTCTGCTTCCAAGGAGTTAGTTACTTTTAATTTTTTGTTTTTAAAGTGTTGTTGAGCAATAGTTCTCCAGGTCTTTCAAAGTCTGTCTTTGGACATTGGCTGCCTTTCATTTTCAGTCAAGTCCTTGCACCTGTCAGCTGGATATTTTTTCTTTTTATTTGTTTGTTTTTGTTGAGCCAGTTAAGACCTTATGAGCTATGAATCATTCAAGCAAAACAACAGGACTTGAGAGATGCATCTGGCCCTTCAGTTGATCCATCTACTGTTTACTAAAGCCTCATCAGAAATGATCTCAGTGGAAGTGGGGGCATAATAATCTCTCACACACTGCCAGTGCTGTTAAAGCATATATGAATGGAAAAACACACACTATCAGTCATGGATTGCCCTCCCTAGAGCCCAGACCTCAACTTTATTGAAGCATTGTGGCATCACTGTAACACTCATATTGACTTACAGGTTCATTAGAATTGTACAATTGCTATTTTTGCCTTATATACTATATTTCAATTTCTTTTTGCACTTTTCAATAAATTACTGAACCAATATCCCAATTTCTTGGCAAAATATAAATAAATGAGGGGTGGCACGAGACTTTTGTACAGAACAGCATATGCCTGAGGTGCCTATTTACATGTTTTTTAGAGAGTTAGTTTAGTAATCGTAAGAGAAATTACAGCAAATGTCTTACATTTTATATATTAAAACATCAGTCTGCCAGTCACAGAAACAAAATGTTTCCAATGTCTTGTCCAAGGGAGACCTGAGAAAATGAAAACACATCACACAAGAACACGATCAGAACAGAGAAACAGTCGTACAACAATAAACAAAGGTTAAATAAAAACAAGAAATAATAACTGAATTGAGAAAATGTTGGAAGAGTTATAAAAAATCATCAGATACTGAAGCTGTCGGAGCTTGTTTGCAGCTCATTCTATTTGAGCGGTGCGCAGTACCTGAAAGCAGTTCTTCTAACATTAGTGTACACATGGAGAATATATGAGGCTTATTAAACTGTGTGGTGTAATTACTAGATTTAAATGAGAAAAGAGATCTGAGGTAATGAACAACATAAGAGTTTCATTCTGGATATAGAAAGAGAGTGCATATTTACAAACAGGGGCAGAATGAAATATAGAGAAAGATCAAACTGAAAGTAAGAGTAGTATGACATTGATGAAGAAAATAGGAATTTTCTTTGTATCTGCCAGATTACTAAATGTGGATGAACTCAGCAGTAGGTACAGCTGTATGCTGGTATTATGAAATGCACCACTGCTCACTCGATTTTGATTGATTTATTACTAGTGAATGAAAAACCCTACTCAAATCCCACATTCTTGGCATTATCGCTAGAGTTTGAGTTTCTAACATTTTTAGGTAGGATGTTCCAGAGTTTGGGGGCATAAACTGCAAAAAGCTGCACTTTTCTCTGTCGGAAATACTGGATATCTAACATTTATCATTGGTGATGAAGAAATGAGTCCAAAAAAACACATGAGCAGCTTGACTCGTCATCATGTATCCTGTTACCTTCGAAACCAGAAGTGCCTGTTTATTTTACCCGAAAGTGCAGTGAAAGTTGTTATTCATCTTATTTGCAGACGTTTGACTTGTCACAACAATAACTAATAAGATTAACGATGACCCCATTCCATTAAAGTATGCCAGCAAGCCAGTGAGCCGTTGTGCTGGCACCTGCACACCTGACTGGAATGGAACCAGCTTTTAATGTAATTAGTTTTACCTGTGTCTGACAAGCCAAACTGTCAGCCCTGAGGGGTGTTATCAGCCCTCCTAGGGTGTTATATAACTGATTTTCTGAAAAGGTTGCAGTCAGTCATCTATAAAAGGATGCCTTAGGGAGCACTCATTGACTGTCTGCTGTCAGGAGTTTTCTGGGTCACGTAAGAAGAAGATGGAGGAGAGGAGCAGTGATTTTCTGTCAGCTTCAGGAGCCAAGCAATATATCAGATAACCCGTGTCTTTTCCAGTAAACATCTCCAGATGGGTTTTCTCAGAAAAATGTGAAAATAAAGCCATAACACTTGATATTTCTGTCCTGCCCTCTCTGTCATAAACAGTTAGAAATGAGGCAAAAATGCTGCCAGTAAGGTGCAGCATTATAAATAAGTAGTATTTCATCACAGAATCTTAGTTACTGTTTGTTCTTTATGCTCCTTCAGAAAGAGATTTTTTTCAGGACAGGAAACTTGGACTACAGCAGGTTTTATAGCTTCTTCATTAGCTTTAATGGTTTAGTCTTCCTTCGCCCCTCCTCAGGTTGTTCTGCAGAATCTGTTGATGTGCATGGTGTGCTTCTACTCTCTCTACTACATCGCGGTCAGTCTCTGCATTGGACTGCTCAGGTAAACTCAGACTCACACGATAATGAGACCCAGTGGGATAAGAGAGACAGATAAGCAGGTTGCAATAGACTTGTTATTGTTCGTGCTCACGTCATTATCTTTTCTTGCTTCATGTCTTCAGGGTTCATGAAATCAACAGCTTGTTGGCTCCATTCGACTACACCGCGCAACCGTCATGGCAGAACCCCAAATACCTGGGTGAGTTACAGTTGTGAAGTAAAACTAGAGGAGCACATCATTTTCATGACCTCTGTTACTTACACTCTGCTGTATTTCAGAGGCCAGTATTTTACAAAATGCTGAATTTATTCAGCTCTGAGGTTATCAGTTACTTTTAAGGTTAAATCCAAAACATATGAGACATATGCTGTCCTCCTCCACAGTGAGTGCCTTTAGTCCAATAGTTACACATTTCGTGGTAATAGATTACTTCTATTTCCATTTAACTATAAAGCTAAAATATAGGGTTTTCTTTGTTTTGTTTTTTTTACAGAAAGAGATGTAAATAACTATGATAGGTAGCCTTTAAAGCCTGAATGGAAATCAGAAAAACTTTAATAACCCCTGCGGGGGAACTGCTTCATAACAGTTGCTCAAGACTGTAGAAATTGTAAAATTATACTACTTCATCAGAAAGAGGAGGAACTGTGTAACTTGACAGCCACAAGAAGGAAGCAAGGACGTCCTGTGACGTTCAGTGCTGCAGTGAGTCATGTTTAGTATATAATTCTCCTCTGACTAACCAGAACACTGTGCTGAGGGGGGAGTTCTGATAGCAGCTTCTTTTGCATGACTACATGCAGCTCCAGCCGACAGACCGAGCTAGCCCTTTCTATATTTGTTTGCTTTTGCCCCAACAGAGAGACTCATAAAGCATCTTCTGGCACATTGCAGCATTCATCGAAAGACAGAAGCTACAGTCATTCGTTTTTACACAGAATTATCTTGGAATTACACACTATTTAAAATGACTTGTGCTGTATACAGTATAATTTAGCTCCTTTCCAGTTTTTCAGAAGCTAAAAATGAAATAAATAAATACGTTTTAATTCAAAATAAAACACATTGACCATATTTTGATTATATGATCTAGGCCCAACCCCCGGGCCTTGGACCGGTACCGGTCCGTGAGTCGTTTGGTACCGGGCCGCGAAAGTTGAAGCTCAGGTGTGAAATGTATGGTTTTCAGGGTTTTACTGGTTTTCAGCGTTATTTTGTTATCGTTTTTATCGTTAACTCGGTTTTCCTGGGTCTTTTCACGTGTGTTATGAATAAATCTTCTTTTTTTCGGTACCGGTACCAGTTTTATTTTGTTGTATTTATCCGTGACACCTTAAAGGCCGGTCCGTAAAAATATTGTCGGACATAAACCGGTCCGTGCCGCAAAAAAGGTTGGAGACCGCTGATCTAGAAGAAAAAGTTGTGTATTCCATCTGTTCTCACAATTGTCTGACTTCAAAGACCCACTGTGGCAACCGCTTGTGAAGAAGCGGGCACCTCTGATTTAATTACTGCATATAATGCGCACATAACTGAGAACTTGGGACAAGGAAACTGTTAAATTTGAGGGAAATGTGGATTCTTGTGTTTAAATATATATATAAAGGGCTTGAGCCTATCACAGCTGTCATAGGGCGAGCACACCCTAGATAGACTGCCAGTCTATCACACAGCTAACACAGAGAGACAGATTCTCAGATACTCACATTCAGGCCTACGGGCTCTTTCGTTCTTTCTTTCTTTCTTTTCGAATTATTAAAATTTAAAAAAACAAAAACAAACAAACAAACACAGGAAACTGAAATAAAAAATTCCCAACATAATGATCTATAAACCCAAACAAAAGGCGAGCAAAAAGAAGCAGTGGATCATCCAGTCCTGCCCCTAAATTTGCATATAATCTCTTAATCAAAATGGTAACAATATACATATCTACATACAAATGCATACATACATAAACACATACATACATAAATACATACTTACATACCTATACATATCCATATGCACATGCATAGATGCACACAGGTTTGTCACTCTACAGATGCCATATTAAATAGTTTGGGACCCAATACTGAACCTTGTGGGACACCACAGGTAAAATATTCAAGCACACAGACTTGACTGACCAATTTGTACAAATTGCTGTCTGTCATCAAGATAACTTTTTAACCAGCTGTTTTTGGCCCCTCTCACATCATATCTTTCCATTTTTTGTAACAATATTTTATTGTCAATTGTATCAAAAGCCTCTTACAGGTCAATAAATATCCCCACTGCATATTTTTTTATTATGTATATGTTCGGTAATATTTTACACTAACTCCATCATTACCATAGATGTTGATCTAGTTGTTCTGAGTGAAAATCACATATATATGTAATTGGACACATAATTTCATGAATTACTTTCTTCAGTATAGTCATATCAATGTCATCACTATCTGTTGAAAATTATTTTTTTTACATTTCTATAATCTCTCTTTCTTGTATAATCTCTGCAACTTTCAGAAGTATTGAATTTGGACTTTCTAGTCCACAGTTCTCACCTACATTGTTCTATAGACTCTGTCATGTTGTCAACAAACTTTGGACTGTTGGACAAAGTGAGAGTACCCAGAGAGAACCCACGCAGACACTGGGTGAACATGCAAACTCCACACAGAAAGACTCCGGGCAGATGGTGGATTGAAGCTCAAGATAGTAAAGCAGGAAAATTCTGAAATCAGAATAATGCAACCCTTTTTTCTCTCATGTCCTTTTTGCATATTTAGGTTGTTAAGGATGAAACTTGACCCATGAACACAGTGAAAGAACTCCTCGTGTTTCTCTTATTATTCTCCAAATAACCAAGGTTATTTTTCCTAAATGGGCTTACTTAGGAGAGAAAGGTCAGCTTCAAATAAGATGATTTATTTCTCATTAATCCAAGAAAAGACTGCTGTGAACTTTAAGTCTCAAGCTTGCAGCTCAAAGAGGAAAGTAAACAGGTCGCGGTGTACTGTGTTGTTCCAGTCCTGCTCAAAAATGGGAATTACTCATAAAATCTGGTAAAGTAATTTATGATCCAGGACACCACTACAGTAACCTACATAGGAGTCATCTTTTTTAAAGGTGTTGGAGAAATCAGAGAATATGAATCTGATAGTGTACCCTGGTATGTATGTGTGTGTGTGTGTTTGCAAGCAGTTAGCCTTCATGATGTGTGAACTAAGAGGCTACCAGACTGCAATCGCTGAGTTGCTGGCATTGGGATGGGCCCTCGTGGTATCGGAACAGGGACCTTCTCCAGACATGTCTCCGGAGGTGGTGGCAGCATTGCTAGTTAATGCAAGGCGGTGTGCCAAATCTTCCAAATAAACATTTAAGCCTGTTGGCCCTCTTGATGTCCCCATCTAGCATTTGACTGCTGGGCCTGCAGCCAGCGATCATCCTCATGCCTCTCCGGACATCCCTGGTGTCACTGCGCTGCAGCCCTGGCTCCAGCTTCATCCTGTCAGGCCTCTGATTTTCATTGGTTGTTGTTTCTGGAATCTTCTGACCTGAACAAAAGATTGAAGGGCTCCTGCTCAGTATCAGGAGTGCTGTCTGAAAATGTCATTTTATAGTGGCTCAGCATTTTCACAGTCGCATGTGACTGGACATAGCAGTTTATTGTTAAAGCAAAAGCAGCTCTGTAAGGTGATGTGCCACTTTTTTGCTTTCTTCCTGCAGTCGGAGTAATTTCCACAGAAGTGACCTATATTTTGGGAGGACTGGTGTTTGCCTGGATTGTGGAGGAGTGGGTTTGGGACTATGCCATAACTGTCACACTTCTCCACATTGCAATGACTGTAGCAGGTATATACACACACACACACACACGCACGCAGAAACACAAAGTGGATCAATTGAGCGGAACAGCTGATAGGATTGGAGGCCTGGTTATGTAACTGGATATAGAGGCTGCAGCTCAGCGTATAAACCCACGGACACTATTTCATTTGAATGTTCACCGCTAAACTGGAATCAGTTTATCCAAGCATAAAGCTTGCATATTTATCTTTTTCCCCGAGGTCACAGTCAGTACTCATTAGTTTGATAGTAATTGTTGTCACAAAATTTAAATTGTATTCTGGTGTGTTTTGCAGTCATGTCAGACTTCCCTTCAGCTGAGCACTGGTGGATGGCTCTGGGTAAGATTTGTACTCCTTCATTGTTCTGTCCGTGCCTCTGTCTGACTCCAATCTCATTTGCAGAAGACAAAAAAATATCCACTTTGTTTTTCAAGCTTCCAATCTATTTCAAGATATTACATTTCTTCTATCTAGACATACTATAGCTCACTTACATCATGCCTGCAGATTCAGCTGCTCTTGCAGTCATTTAACTCTTCTCTCCACAGGTACAGGCCTGGTGATGATGATATTTGGAGGACAGCTAATGGCCTACAAATTTTTCAGAAGCAACTTTGTCTATCCGGCTGAACTGCAGAATTTTTGATGAAAATGAAGCATTTCACTGCAGACAGTGTTACTACTGGTATTAGCAACTAAAGTATGTCAATAAAGTTATTTATACTGTACATATTCTAAAGAGAACCACAAGACTGACTTTGTTTCCTTACCAGCTTAGTTCAGTTCAAGTAATAGTCTGATCCCACTTTGTACAAATGGCCTACTTTTGTCAATTTAACAGCTTTTTTTTTTTTTTTACCTTTTCTGTACAGTTTATTATATTTCAGTTTTGTATTATTTGTTTACACACTTAAAACTTTAAACATAAGCTTAAAGCAACAGATGTTACAGTTGGAAAAAACTGTGAATTATATACTACCTGTAATCTATTGACTGATATGTGTGCATAGATAGTTTTTGTCTTTTTTTTTAATTATCATTATTTCTTATGTTAGTGTAAGCTTCAGAATTTGTTACATATATTCACATATAATTTGTTGCTCAACTGTGGCCACACAGTTTTGTCTAAATAAACTCAGTGCACATCTACACAAAAATAACTTTAATGTTTGTTATATTTACAATATTTAAAATCTGTTTGGAATTTGAATTAAAAGTTTTATGAACAAGGACATTTTTATTGTTTCTTTTTTTTTTATCTGTGTGTCTCTATTTGTAGTCTGTCTTTTTTATATATATATCAACGGGCAGTTAAAGTAGGATGACGATTTCTGTCTGTTAAAACAACACAGACCCCAGTTTCAAAATAGTCAATAGTTCAAAAGACTCGTTAAGGGCGGAATTTGCAGACTGATGATGATACAGTGCTCTTCCCAAATAAACTGAATTTATAGGCTAAAAGTTTCAGTATTGGGATTGGTAATACCAGCCCCGTGTATAGTTGGCATTGGCTCACCTAAATGTGCAGACAAATTGCACAGACGCGTTTCCTGGACCCATCTTCTGCGCTCAGTTTGGGCCGCTCGTGAAGGTCACGTGGTGTAATTAACCCAAGCCTGAGCGCCAGAACAAACTAGAGAACTGGCTTTACAGAGTTATCTGTGTAACAGCGCTGTTTACAACAGTTTTAACTCATACTACCGAGTAAATGTCAAGGAACGGGTTAATATCGAGTTTGCGGAGGCTAATAAACGACGAGGAGCCGCTCGAAACGAGGTCTCCGGTAAGTAAACGTGTCAGCAAGCCTGAAAGTTGCTAACTCAGCTAACTGACCAAATGCTAGCAAAGTTTGAATTTTTGCTAAAAAATATAACCACTATAATATAATATTACAGCTAGACTAGAAAAAACATATATTCTTTATGTAGGCTATTATTTTTAAATAGTGCCCAGGTTTGAAATGACACAACTAGCTTGGTAAAATTAGGTACAGTTCACCGTTAGCCTCAAGTGTCAGCTGGTTATGTACTTCACTGCCAGTTCAACACAATGATTTTACATGCAAGAGAATTCTGATTAGTGTCAACAGTATTTACTCTAAATACCTCACATACATAGCTGTGCAAAGGGTTTTATTAAATTTTCTTCATATTTTGCTAGTAAAAGTTGCAGCAATTTATTGAAACGTGCAAAAAACAGAGTTTGCACGCTTGTAACGAGTGAGTATTTGGTAAGACCACGTTTTTTCAACAACACAACCAAGCTTTCTATTCATTTCTTTAAGTAGTCTTCAGAAATTGTTCTCCAGGCTTCTTGGAGGATGGTCAAAGCTCTTCTTTGGATGTTGGCTGCTGTTTGTTCTATTCTCTATCAAGATACACACTGTTTCAGTAAAGTTGAGCTGTGAGCTCTGGGGAGGCCAGTCCATGGCTGTGGGTGTTTTGGGGTGTTTGGGATCATTGCCAAATGAAAAATAAAGGTTTTTCTAACTACTATTGTATGAGGTATCACAATCAGATCGTCATCTATGAAACATCCCAGAGCCTCACTGTTCTACCTCCTTCCTTCCTGACATTTCTTTGTACATACCTACCAATTTGAACCGACAATGTCAGACTGGGATTAATCTCTAAGACCATAAAACCATGTCACTGATTTTCATTTCAGGTGTGTAACGGCTTAAAATACACTGCTCCTCACTGTCTTTGTTTACAGGCACAATATTGTGCTAGAAAAAGCTAGATGGGACGGAGCCTTGTCTCCTACTACAGCTACGCTTTGTTTTTTCGCTGTCGCTGTGTGCTAAAAAGCAGTAAGATTTATTTTTTTTGTAAGAATTTTATTTATTATTATTTTTTAACTACCAGCCTATTTTATTGTGTCATTATTTGCTGCCTATTATGCCATTTAATATTGGTATTTATTTTACTGTGTGTGTGTGTGTGTGTGTGTGTGTGTGTACGTGTACGTGTACACAGCCCTTTGTGACCCTTACCTGGTCTACCACTATTTTCCTCTATTTGTTCACTTTTCTTTTTTTGAGGACACAGGGATATTTTTGTTGTTTTTTGTTTTTTTTCCAACTAAAGAAAACAACTATGCCGTGCCGTGTTCTTGTGATTAGCTGCTCGTAACAAAGATAAAGATACAATTTTAAAATCAGTTCTTTGTTAAGTTGTTTGTTATGTGTATACCCAACACTTTCATGCCTTGAGTTAGGGGATTTTTTTATGCTTGAATGATTAATTGGTCAGTTTTAAGTGGCTAAACAAACAAACAAATAATAACTTTGAAAATAGTTAGGTACAAGGACTGGACTAAAATGTGTAAAATAATAGAGCAGCAAAGAAAACCTTTGAAGACCTCCATAAAGTCTGGGGAACCACTTAAAAAATGATGAGAAATTCTTGCTCCTTGTAAACAAAATATAACGAAATGAAGGGTGCTATAGACATTTGCACAATTCTGTTATGTGAAGGTCATGAATCATTCCATATGAAATCACACTTGGCTCAAAAACATTTTTACACTCACACTATGAACATTTTTGGTCCTTGAAGTACACATACATTTCAGTAGCAAATCTATACCAACTTTGTGTCACACATAAGAATGCAGCGGTCGGTGTTTGAGTATAAAATGTGTGTTTGCCAAGTGTCATTTAATCTTCTTTCCATCGTAGAGTCCTTTTGAGCAGCTACGTCCACGGATGAATGACATCATAGGAGATGGAGGAATCCTGAAGGAGGTGGTCCAGCCAGGAGAGGGCCCGCCTGTCCCCGAAAACGCTTCAGTACTGAGTATGTATGAGTACACATTTCTTGTTAAAGCCTCTTACAGTTGTAAATTATCATATACGTGAGGTCAGGATTTTGTTTGTCTAGCCACAATTCACAAAAATCTCTACTTCTTGTAGAGTGTTGTTCAGATTGTTATGAACCCTGCACCCAGTTGTCCCCTGAAGGTCACGTTTGCCATTTTATGGGCAATAACCTGTGAATTGTGTGAGCTGGTTGAGCTGCTACATCACTGATGGTCTGGTTTTACTTCCACACAGTCCATTACTCAGGATTCCTGGAATATTCTGATCAGCCTTTTGAAACCACCACTCACCTCAAATACCCTCGGATGATGAAGTTGGGGAGAGGTGAGAAACGCTCTACAATGGCTGAACTGTGAGTTTTTTGTTTTCCTGCCTGAAATATACCAGTTTTAAAAGTCATTCTTCAAACAGATGTGACACTGGCCGGGCTGGAGCTGGGTCTGTTGACCATGAAGAAAGGAGAGTTCTCTCGGTTCCTCCTCCAGCCTCAGTATGCTTACGGGGAAATGGGATGCCCTCCATTTATCCCCGCAGCAGCTGTGGTTCTGTATGAGGTTCAGATCCTCGACTACCTTGACTCAGGACAAGTGGATGACTTTATTGCAATGAGTCTGGTAGGGAGGCTGCAGGTGCTCTGTTTAGTACTACCAACCTCAGACAGATCTGCATCTTTACCACACATACTTAAAAGCCTCTACTTTTTTGCTTTTATAACACAGATCAGAAACGGTCTTTGATTTCTGTTCTCCTCCTCAGGAGCAGCAGAACACCGTTCCTATGTCCGCACTTCTTGAAGTTGTCAACACACTGCGGAGCTTTGGCAACCGTTTCTTCAACCAGAACCGATATTACAATGCCAAAGATCGCTATAAACAGGTACATTTTGAAGTATGTTAATTGTTTTTATTTTTAATTACGTTTTACTGCGATGGCTAATATCATGCCAAGTTGTTCTTGGTGAAAGTGTTTTTTTATTATATTTCTCTGCTTTGCCTGCAGGCTATGACGCTGCTGGGAAACAGGGAAACACAGAGTGATTTAGAGAAGGAGAGGATCAAGACGGCTCTGCTTCCTCTCTACCTGAATATTTCTCTCGCTGAGCTCCGCCTGGAAAGACCGCACAAAGCCCTGAAATATGGGAACAAAGCCTTGGAGATAGACTCTGCCAACACAAAGGCTCTCTTCCGCTGCGGACAGGTAGGACGGGGCTTTTGTTTGTCTTCCAGACTGTCAGATAAATAATCCTCACTATCTCTGGGGGGTTTAAAAAAACAAACAAAAAAGGGGGTTGATGACACAGGAAAAACAGGAAACAAAATCATTTTTATTCACGCTTTCGTGTTTCAAATCTCCCAAAACATATTAACTTAGTTAAAGATGCAGTTTGATACACTAATCGCATTTCTTTTAGGCTTACCTGGAGCTGCATGAGTATGCGAGTGCTCAGTGTTGCCTCACATCTGCTCAAGCACAGAAGCCCTTTGACAGTGACATCAACAACCTTCTGAGGAAAGTGACCATGTAAGATGATTTTAATGACTTTAGAATAAATGCTGCTTCAGCTGTTTCTCCTGGCCTGTGTGCAGCAGTATGCACAGCAGTGCGCTGAAACTGTAACAGCTACCTGACCTAGAGCCCTCTGTCTGTCCACACAACCGTGACTATTACATTAATTTTATATTAATGCCTCCACTCACCCACCACTTTTTAGGTGCACTGTGTAACTGCTTCAACAGCTCGTTAAGGTCTATCAAACGTCTAATCAGTCAATCACATGGCAGAAACTGGATTATACATAGTCAAGACTACCTGCTAAACTTTAAACTGTGCATCAGAATGGGGAAGAAAGGTGATTTAGGTGACTGAACGTGCCATGATTGTTGGTGCCAGACAGGCTGATCTGAGTATTTTGGGAACTGCTGAGTTACTGGAATTTTCCCACACAGCCATCTCTGGGGTTTAAAAGGAAATGATCCAAAAAAGGGAAAATGAACAGTAAGCAGTGGTTTTCTGCCTCATTGGCCAGACTGCTACAAGCTGCTAAAAAGACGACAGTAACTCGAATAACCAGTTGTTACTCAGCCAATGTGTGCAGAAGAGCATATCTGAATCCACAACTTCCCACAGGATATCATACCATGTCACAAAGCTCACACAAGGCAAAAAGAGGTACAGCCCAGTACAAGCAAGGTGTTCCTCATAGTGGATCATAACTGTCTTTTGTAACATTTGTGAAACCACTCGGAAGATATTCACGTGTCATTTTCTTGTCCCAGGTGCTATAAAGACAGCCTGGACAAAGAGAAAGACTTGTACTCAAAGATGTTTAGAGAGCTGAAGGGCTCAGTGAAAATGTGAGGACCAGCAGCAGGAGGAGGAGGTGAGAAATCCTGTTCATTCATTCTGACTGGTTTTCATATATTTTAATCTCATCTCCATGGGAGGGTTAACATTTTAAAATGACTTCTGTGTGATGTGCCAGTAACTGTCCTTTTCCCTTAAACCTGCTACACCCGTCGTCACAAATAAATTATAATAAATACACTCTGTATAATAACTTTTAATGAAGCCATGAAAAATATTAGACTGTGTTTCAAAGTAAAATCTTGTTGGTTAGTTTCCTTCTACTGATCTGGATCTCATCATTTAACCAAACATTAACTGTATGATCTGATACAAACTACAGCTCTCATGAGTCTTTGCCATTTGCACAGACAAATCGTCTTTGACTCAGGTATTGCACTGTTTGTTGTTGCAGATTTCAAGATTCACCATGTTTTCCTTTTATAATTTGTTTTCTACTTATGAAGGGAGTTGGGTTGTAATCATTGTTTCAATTCTTTCAAAATTATCTCAAATTAAGTGTTGTTTTGATATTTTGTTAAATAATGTTTCTCATTAGTACCCTTTCTCTCCTTTGGACTCCTGCTGTACATATTCCTTGCATGTTTGCTGGAGTATTAAGCATTTGCTTGGGATCTTGAGATGATGATAATAAAAAATACAATGTTCACTTCTAGAAGAGTTTGTCTTTGTTGACTAACTGGAAACTAAGGTTTTCTCATCTTGAATTTCATCTTCAGTTTATTAGCTCACAACCTAATCTGTTGTAGGCAGATATTATGGATGTAATTCTAATATTAAAACGGCTGTTTGGCTTGTTTGTTTTTTTGTTTTTTTTCATCCTGGCAGTCCAGACAGGATTCATTTCCTCTTACTGAAGCAGATGGGGTAGGGGGCTTACAGGAGTGGGGAGATGAGCTACATTAAGAGTTTGCGCTTAATTGTGAGCTTCACTTGACCTAATTACCTGAGAAAGGATCTCCAGTGACAGCAGGGGGTGCCCTTTCTGATACTACTGCTGGAGTGTAGCAGGTACCAGGGTCATAACTGAGCAATGTTTGTAACAAACCAAACTGCCACAAGCAGCCGAACTTGTGCAAACTTAAGATGTGATGATATTGGACTATTTGAGCTATTAGGAGTGTAAAAAATTACAAAATTACCAATTTTATCTCATTTTTCAAAACTTATTTGAAAGATTTACTGTTATAGATGCCCTTTGTACCACCTTTGGCCGTCAGTACTCTAGGCCCAAATGAAAGTGATCTCAAAGTGGAGGTAGCGTGAGGGATACTGGGAAGAAACAAAGCAGGAAGTAAGTGAATGATGAATAAAACTGAAGTCATGGAGAGACTGAGTTGAGTGGTGGCATGACCTCAGAGGTGGGGAGGTGCACAAAAATCTAATTTACTTCTCTGGCTAATCCAATTTTCACTGTGTGGGTGGGTCAGTTTTACTATCAACTCCCACCACATGGTGAGTACAGTAGGTTGTGCTTTGTGAAACAAAGCTTTACTGAATTCAATCAGGCAACAAAACAATGGCCTCCAGATTCCCATACTACCTCCAGCTCAGGTAAGGAATTAGTAAGGTTTTTGTGTTTGTACACCGGTGTGTGCATATGGGTATGTAACCCTTTTTATTTTTAAACATAGCATGCGACCTATGTGATGTGTGTTACCTGTAAGTGCTCAAAATTTAGGATCAAATGTGTAGTTTACCTGCTGTGCCTGTGCTGTGATCAGCTCTGACTGACTCTGGGCCTTTGAAATATGATACAGTTATAAGCATGTAGTATACACTGCATATATAACAGCATACACAGAAAAAAAGTAGTCAGTTTACCTTTTATATTGTAGTTGTGCATATTGAACAGTAATGTGACAAGTAACTTTTTTAGTTATTCACATATTAAAAGCTATTCACATATTATGTTATCCAAAAATGATCCAAGCAATTTTCCTGGGGGTGCAAGTATAAACTTGCAGGATATTAATATAATGCAGGCTCAGGTCAGTGTGTGAACACCCTCAAGTATTTGCAAAGCTGCATATTAGAAACACTACTTCATTTCAAAGCCAAAGCAACTGCCCACGAACATGAACCCTAGGCTGTATTTTAAAACAACAGCTGCAAAACTGTAAGATGACAATAAAGAACCCTTAAGCTGTATGGCTGAAACTAGCAGGAAGTTTTATTTTGCTCATTATCAATCCAGAGTGGAAAAACACTGAGCATTGACTTCTACCTAATCTAAGTTGTAAATAGTAGAGCAAATAACATACATTTAAGTCCCGCTAGCTGTACGGGTTGTAGATCATTCAGTTCAATTCAGTTTTATTCATATACAGCCAAACCACAACAGCAGTCGCCTCAAGGGGCTTTATATTGTAAGGTGAAGTAATACAGCTACAATAATCTAAACAAAAAAACACCAGCAATCAGATGACCCCCTATGTGCAAGTGTTTGGAAACAGTGGGAAGGAAAAACTCCCTTTTAACAGGAAGAAACCTTCAGCAGAACCATGCTCAGATAGGGTCAGCTATCTGGCGCCAGGGGTTGAGGGTGAGGAAAGGAAGACAAAAGACACAATGTGGAGCCAGATTAGACTGAACCATGTTGACATTACATGAAATGCATGTAAAGTTACCATCTTTATAAAATGTAGGAAACATGGTTTTAATTGTCCTGCTTTACAACTTTTTAAAAATGGTGCCACAAGCTGTTAATACACATACGTGTGTGTCTATATATAAATGATAGATGATAATTCAAATCTAAGGAGAAAAGTGTGTTCACTGGGAAGATATATGGAGGAGTCTCGAAAACCCCCTTGAGCTTATTTGTACAGGAAGCTTTCAGTACCCTGTTAGAGCAGCTGGGTGCGCTGTCACATCGGAAACTTTGCCCTGCGGGGTTTGGACCAATCCCGGAGCTGGTCTGTGAGTGTAATCCAGCCCCTGTCCTGCGCTGCCTCTCAGAAAACACACCGACAAGTTGTAGAGAAAGACGATAACACGGAGCCGAGAGGACGAGGAGGAGGAGAACCAGGAGGAGGAGAGTAAAATGTGAGAATGAGTCGGCAACAAATCCGCACACAGATGGAAGGAATACACGGATAAAGTGATTATCTATCGATTAGCGATCGGATGTCATAGCCGTGTGTAAAATAGAAGAAAGACGAAAAGCGGGAGAAACATGAGCCGGCAGCAGATGGAGTCACAGGGAGTGGTTTTAACGGGTTACCACAGCAACGCGGAACTGTTGCCGCAAACTGGACCGTGTGAGTCCAGCTGTCCGCCAGTACCGGACGCCGAGCACACCGTACACAGGTGGGAGTGTGTGCAGCTGTAATGCCGTCCTTACAGACCATTAAAAGAAGTGTGTGTGAAAGAGAGCAAAGGTCACGTTGATAATGCTATTTTTTCCTCATTTTCTTTTTTGAACTTCAGCTGTGGAAGGAGTGTTAACTGCGTTAACTTGAACTCAGCAGTGTCCCGGTGTACTGCGCTTGCAGGCAGTCCACATTTCTTATTGTTCCCTCTGGCCTAACTCCGCCCTTGGCCTTTGGTTATGCTTTTTCCTAATCAGCAGATAACAAGTTTCACCTTGGTTTTGTTCCGCTGGCCAAGATTTCACACCTAATCCACGGTTCTTCCTTAGCACTGTAGCTTTACGAAAAGTCTTCCCCTGCGAAGTGCAAGTTTTATAAGCAGTGAACAGACTCAAATGCAGAAGTATTAAATTAGCTCGTAGTTCATATATCCCATTCCCCTGGTCAGTGTGGTTGGTGACACACTTCTGGGCTGTTCACTAGTTTCCATCAGCTTAAACAGAAAAAAAATCATGTTATATTACACAGATTGTTCTATTATGAAAATAACAGCTGTAAGGATGTCTTAAAACAAATAATCTATATGGGACAGTCAGTTTTCTGTGATTCAAAACAGAAAATCCCTGACACTTAAAATATAGAGCTGGGTGTAGAGTTATTCTATACTTGGCCTGTGTTGCTGCACTTTAAAGCGTTTGGTTTTTAGTTTAAAACCAGGATAATTCGGAAGTGTCTGAAGACATAATTTAACTGTAACAAAGTATACAGAAACTACTTTTAACTGCTTTCTTATTCACATGGGAGCAACCATACATGTTTGACTTGGCAGATTTTTCTTTTTTTATATATGCCGGATGCCCTTCCTGAGGCAATCCCAAAAGTAACCTCTCTCTTGTTAGGCAAAAAAACACTATGGAGCCATGCAACAGTGGAAATATAAGGCCAGAATGATAATTGTCTGTGATGTCATGTGGTTAGTAAAATGTATGATTGATAAATTACATGTTGGGCTGCCACAAACCTCCAGGGCAGTAGTCACTGTTTCCTACACAGATTTTTCAAATCTAGTACTCGATGTGATCAGTCTCCACCTGAAAAACAACATCTGATTTGGTGTTTTGATGTTCTCTTCATGCAGCAGAATGTAGTCATGCCTTGTCTGGATTTCATAGCTTAACTTTCTGGCTTATTGTTTTATTTAATGGTTTGACGACCTTCATGTCCGCTTGTACAATGAGGAAGAGACTCAGTAATTCAAGAGGTGCTGTCGCTGGGGCAGCGATGAATGAGAACTAAGGTGTTACGGAAACAACTGTATAGCTACTCTTTTATTTATAACGGATCTTGCTGATTCATACAGGCTGAGCTGGATATGGAGTCTGCTCATTTACATCAGCAAACACCTGCCGTCACCAACTGTGGGCTGGAAAAAGTAAACAGCCCCAGCTGGGATTCAAACACGCACACCTGTGCGTAGGTGTGTATCTCTGTGCGTGTTCCAGATGGCTTGTCCAGGTAGCTAGAAGAAAAAAGAAAAGCAGCATCACATTACAGGCTGCCTTTGTCTCACCTCCCAAGCAGAGTATGTGTATCCTGTCTAGGTTGACGTGCGGAGGCTTAGTTTTGTAGTCATTGTTTCCCCTCATCAGGAAATGCCAGAGAGACATAATGTGTCAAGTCTCGCATTTGATGTCTTTATTTGTTACATTCAGGCCCTCTAAGCAAGGAAACTTTACACTATTATATCACATTTTCCATTGCCATATATAAACTATGGACTGTATATAAAAGAGGGTTGTAACCAAAGTGATGTCATTATTATTTTTGGACTACTCTTGAAGCAGTGGCCTTAGCATAGGGGCTAATGCATCATTCTTTTCTTCTTTTCTTTGTTTTTCTTTTTATAAACCATACATGAATGAGAGTCTGGATGTTAATTTAGCAGCTAATGCTAGCTAGCATTAGCTAGGTACATCTATAGATGTACCTAGCTATTAGTGCCCAGACAATGAGCACTGACAATGAGTCTTTTTGGA